TAAAGATGATTTATTCTTGTATAGTATATCCTTTAATGGATAATTTGACCTAAAGAAAGGTGGTGTCGGTTGCCTTGTGGTTAGGCTACCGGACTCCTTATCGTGAGATTGCGGGTTCGGAAGTTCAAGCGTAGCTCGGTTTGACATTGTGTCCTTGGGAAACACTTTACACAATTACACAAATTTCTACTTGGCTTGGTGCTTTCGGAGATGGACGTTAAACTCGGAGGTCCCGCCTCTTAAATAACCTAACAGTGTTGGTAGGGGCGTTAAACCTATACCATTCCACCATTTCTTTTTTTTTTTTTACCAAAAGAATGATAAATGTTTTTTCACTTCATTGGCACTATGTATACATCATTGAGAAGGCAGACTGCTTTGACCTTACCTGTCAGGGCGGGCCCGGGCTATTCCGTACACTGGATCTCTTTTCTCAGTGGAAAGCTGATAGCAATTGATAAAATATCGGTAGAACGTCAAAAAGGAACTGACGTTTTGGATTTTTTTCCCTCCCCACGCAAAGTGAGAAGTGGAATACAGGTAGGCCATTGGCAGATCGAATCTGATCGTTTAAGGCCAGTCCACTGGGGGATCGGATGTGTCGGTCACCAACTAATCGCCCGACTCGTCGCCCGAAAACAAACGCATTCGTCTTTGAGGCGACGAGTCGGGCGATCGATTTGTGCCTCGATAATAACAATAATAGTAATAATAATAATAATAGTAGTAGTAGTAGATATAATTTATATTGCGCAGATCCCCGCTCAACAGCAAGCTCTATACGCGTCACATTCTATACTATTACCCCAGCAGACCTGAGAACATTCTGAAACAACTTCAACTTCCTGGGAAGCATGCAGTGCAAGTGGCCATTTATAGGCGCTAAAACATTAACATACTGACAAGATCTTTCGCTGTCTCTGGCCGGGTACCCATTCCTACCTGGGTGAAATGAGGAAAATTTGTGCAAAGTGCCTTTCCCAAGGACACAACGTCGGGCCCGCGGCTCGAACGCTCGACCCCGCAACCTCACGATTATGAGTCTGGTAGTCTAACCACTAAGCCACCAACGCCACGACTCTCGCTTTGCGCCCTCAATCTGGCTAGCAAATCGAACTGAACAGAACCCATCGTGCCAGTGGGCATTGGGTGTAATGGCAGCTTCAGTCCATGCTGCGCCAAGATTCTGCCTTGCTTCATCAAATTTTTACCCTGAAATTAAAGTAAAGAAAACGTTTCTTTTTCTAGAGACCGTGAAACTTGACGCAGAGTTCATATCCAAAACCTCGTGACGTTGCTGTGCCGAAAACGTACCGTCCACAACTCAGTTATTCCCCTTCAATTGTGGCTTCAAGTGCCGACAGGCGCATGTTGCAATTGTTGTGTTGAGAGGTTCTCAAATCCCATATAATAGACATGGGGAGTTTGGACAGCTTTAGCTTTCCTTCCAGCCTCTTCAAATCAACGCTGTTCATTATCATATTCGGCACACAAACAAAAGATAATGATAGATTGCATTTATTTATATAGCGCTCTATCCCATACTAGTGTACTAGTTTATGCTCTGAGCGCTTTATTTATATATAGATATGTATAATCTATTATCTATTTGTGGTGGCCGGATTTTGCTATTAAAAAAATGCTTTTTAATGACTGCATCGATCGACATGCGGTTTTCGCCAAAAGATTCTTTAAAATATTCTCCAGATCATGACGCCCTTCGTTTTTTTTTC